GAATCTAGCAAATCAAGGCAACCCTTCTGACCATCGTCAAAGTTTCACTCATGCGATCTACAGATTCATTATTGATAACCCCATGTATAATACCCACGTTTTTGAGTAGAGATACTAGCTCGCTCACTTTTTTTCATTGCAAAATCAGAGGTTACAAATTGACTATTATTTCTTTCGGCTTTTCACATGTCTGAGGAAATATTTGTTATTATCAATCCATAGCAATTTGTAACAAAATGACAAGATTGATGAGAATTATGCTTCAGCGTCAACTGAACTGTGATTTAGAGTTGTAGGGAGACAACGGGCACTTTTGATTTGTCCACATCTTCGAATGGATAGAACGGATGAGTGATTGCGCTGAAAAAAAAAATAGCAACTCCCATCAAACGTAACTCCTCGTTATTGATGTTGTTAGCACAGAAAGCTTCCAGGTGAAAAAAAAGCGTGAACACTTACAAATCGAACAAAAACAGCCTCGTTTTCTTTTTGATATTGCCAAGCTTCTCCATTTCCTGTGCACTCAGAGTGAAATCGAAAACATCAAAATTTTCTTTCACGCTGTAAATGAAGTTCGCTGAATTTTATGGATATTCTATGCAAAAAGATTGAATTGTTACAACTTAAAGCTAAATACCGTTCCGGCTTAACACTTTTCGGAATGACTACAATTCCGCGCTGGATGAGATGACGCAACAAAACCTGCGCTGTAGTTTTATTGTGCTTCCCAGCGACTTCTTTTACTAGAGGATCCGTCAACGGGTCACCTTCGCCCCAAATCATTTTCTCATTGAAAGCCTGAAACAGACTGATTTCTTAAAAGCTGAACTGTGAGCTTCCTTTAGACCATTCTGCCTCGGGATCCTAATGGAGCGTAAGCTGTCAGGGACATATTGAGCTTTTTACAAAGTTGGAATAGCTCCGTTTGTGGCCAGTACAGATGGCATTCGACCTGAAAATATACTGTACCTGCCTATGAAGCAAAATTCAAGTGTTAGAGTCTGCGATCTGCAGTGCAAAAATTACCTGAAGATTAGAAGGCTTGATTCGTGCATGATCATAAACGTTCTGCACCTGCTTAGTATTGAAGTTTGACAGCCCCAAAGCCTAAAGGAACTTGTGAGCTTAATAACTTATTCTGGTGGTGCTACCTTGAATTTTCCAGCATCGTAAAGTTTTTCCAAAGCATGCCAAGTTTCGACATGATCGATAGTCACTGGTACTTGCAAACCATCCACAAACGCAGGAGCAAAAGTGTCATCTTGTTTCTGTGGGAGAAAACATACAAAGATTTATAATAGAAATCGTAAAAAGTAAAGAATGGAAAAAGTTATTTTTCATTCACTTCTCAATCACTTAATTACCAATAAAAGGGACTACAACTAATACAACAGCTTATTGGCTATATTTTCTTGAAAATGAGAAAGCAAGAGAAGCAAAAAAGCAGGAGAATACTTGGTTTTCCTTTATTTGTATGAGCTCACGTTTTTTGGTTATAATCTAGAAGAGGAACGCTCTACCCATCCATATGTCACTTACACTTTGATTCAACTGGCTTGGCGACTGGAAGGCGAGGCTTCGTGACCTATCTAGGGCTAGGTATGGTCAGAGAGCACGCGCGGGGGAGAGAGGCAGACTGCGTCGCGGGCGCGAGCGGCCTTAATTAGGTCACAAAGCCCTGCCTTCTAGCCACCAAGCCAGCTGAATCGAAGGTTACCTCAGTTTTCTTCTATCTTTGGGAAAAAACTGCAACGAAGTTTTAGGTCTCATTGAGATCACAAAACCGCAGTTTCTCAAAACTCAAGCCTTTTATGTGTAAGAAAAGGAACTTCCACATATATGACAGATGGTCCAAATGAGCTCGAAACTTTCGAGTGGTGAGCTAAACTTTGTGATGAATTAACGTAGTAATAAGAAACACGCCAAAAACCTGCTGCCAGTTCTTCAAAGCGACATGCCAAAGATTCTGGCAGAATGGCAGCAGCGCGTTGACAGAATAATTGGCGAAGTTACTTGTATAAGTGATGTTTTAGTTGCTAGTGCAGATTACTGAAGATTGTAACAAGCTTCAAAATGTAGAGAAAATCAAGCTGTCTCATTACTTTCCGACCACCACTAAGATCGGGGGAATTACTAGGCTGAACTCAAACTCATTGGAAGCAAATATTCTCATTCAACAATTAGTTCGATCTGCGTGTCGGTATAGAAGAAGGCCGGAAGGAAAGACATCTGGACTGAATAATATGGTTTTGGTGATGACAGGAAAAGCATTGAAAATAACTTTTATAATCTTTGGTCGACGTTTTCCAGATGATTAACTTGTCAAGCTTTAGCATACGGTAAAAGTACTGTCCCATTGAGCTTGAGAATTGGCGTGCTTTCTAACTATTCTTCATAAATCTAATAGAATACCAAGATAATACATTCTAGCTCACTGCAAAAGCTGACATCAAAAACCTGGAATTCCTATTGGAGGTGAGAGTCATAGCGCATTTCATATAGATTTATATCGGCCTCTTTTGAAAGTGTGGGAATTACAGAAAAATTTTCTTGATTTTTAGGAGAATTTGAAAAACCGTTTAGTTTTTAGGGAACATGGTAGCAAGCACAAAATCTTAAAAACGGCCACTCCTTGAGTGCCTTAGAAAAAGAGTCATAGATTATCTTTCAAAAAAAAACTGCTGCAAGGCAACAGGATACGACCACAAGATGTGGTACAAAAACTTTGAACAATTGGATATTGACGCAGAACTATTACGTAAGGATTTCGAAATTTTATAGCAAGCTTGTAGCCAGCAAATAAGCGAGAAAAGATAAAGTGTCAGCTCCTTTTTGAGTATTTTTGCGATCCATTTTGTGAATAATTGCCCTTATTTAGCCATCTAAGCCATCGATTTATAATAAGTATCTTATATTGGAGACGATTTTATGCTCTATATGCTAGCTTGTTTGGAAGCCGGTATCACCATTAATAAAAGAGTTGCAGACCAAAAATCTGCTCACCTACGGTGGCAAAACATTGGTGACCCTCCGCGTACTTAATCGTCCATGTGAGTAAGGGAAGAAAACTTTTCAAAAGGATCTTGTCTGGTTCAACCTTCAAGGTCTTGCTTACATGATAAATCAAAAGAACTACAGATTTGCCTGTGAGACGTTTTAAGAGGCACTGAGGAGGGAGTTCTTCCTGCACCGAGTAATTTGTATGGGGTTCTCATAAAGTTGTTGCAAACTTTTGATATTTTCTTCTCTTGGCTTATCTGAAAGTCGAAGCAGCAACTTACTACGCTCCCTAGTAAAATTTTTGTCGTTTTTGAGCTAAATACAAAAAAAGAGGCAAACCTCAAAAGGAACAGGGCTATGCACAAGGTACAAATACAGGTAGTCCAGCTGTAGTGCAGCCAACTGCATTTTCAAAACTTTTTCGACATCTGCAGGAGCATGCGCAGTAAGCGGAAGCTGTAAATTGATTTTTTTAGCAAAAAATTATGGACGGCATTGAACCAACCATGTTTTACCCATAAGTGCACAACACTCACAAGGTTGAAAAAAATTGAGTTTATGAAAGTCTGGTAATGAGTTGTTTATGATAGCAAGGTTTTCAATTTTCAATATTCCCAAGATTTGCTATGACAAGAATCAGCGAATTGGTCTAACCTTCGAAGTAATGAACACATCTTCTCTTTTCATTTTTCCATTTGTAAAGTATTCATGCAGCACTTTTCCGATAACGGCTTCATTTCCATAGACGAATGCCTTATTTGGAAATGAGCAGGATGATATGAAGTTCAAAAACACGTGTTCAGCTTTTTGAAGTTTAACCATTCCAGTTACATTTCCGTTTCAATGCTGTCTTAAGCTTTTTGATGCGTCTTTTATTGATTAAGTAATGTTGAGCTTGAAATCAAGCACGATCATTCGGCACAATCATTTCCATGACTCTGCTAAAGCGAAAAAAGGTTGAGTTCGCGAGGAACTAAAAGCCTCATGTGCTCCCCTGAAGATGAAACACATACATACAGTCTGCCCCAATCCCAACCAGGCCAAAATTGGCATGGCGGGAGACCGCGTCGCTAGGGTTTCGCGGTCACGCCCACGGCCTGCTTCTCTGCCCTCTCTTCAATCTTTTTGCTCTCTGCAACAGCGCGCACATGCAGCGCAGACCGCTAGCGCTGCGAGTGCGCAAATTTACGCTGACGGTTCGGCCTAATCCCGATTGGAGCAGACTGTAGATAGTAAACTGGGATTCTACTCATCAAATCCCAACCAAATTTTCAAAAGATACCGATTTCAGTTCTGCAAAGCATCTCATCACCACTGATACGGAGATCAAGACCGTTTACTCAGCAAGTGAATTAGCCTGTAGCAGTCAGCAGTCAGAACGCTGAAGGACCCCACCAAATGGAGCTTCATAAACCATCTTACAAGGGAACGATACTCAATGTCCGTGGCCTTTTGAGACGAGATGTATACCATTACACTCGCCTTCAAACGCTCATTCCGAATCTGACTTCCGTTTCTGCTAATAGTTTCTCTGAAGGATGTTATGGAGGAATTTCGAGCCTACTTTATCCGCCCAACGGTATGGTCACCAGAACGGCCTCTATCGGCGCCATGTTATTGTCTAGTGATTAGTGTGATAGCCTCATAACTTGATACAGGTGTAGGTTCAAATCCTTTTGTGTTTTTATTTTGCACTACCTCAATTAAAGTTGTTCGAGATTCACTCGAATTATGGTCATTGGATACATTTTAACGCAAATAGTAAATTTTTAATTTCCACATTTTCTGAAGAGTAAGGGCGTTCAGTTAGTTCGAAGATGCGAAAGAAGGTTTATTGAGGCAACGCAAAACTGAAAAACACAAAAGGATTCGAACCTACACCTGCATCAACTCATGAGCCTATCGCGCTAACCACTAGACCACACGCGCACCGTCAATGCTGCCGCTTTGAACATATTTCAGTGGACAGCCAAAGCCCACACAATCCTTTACAATATCTTTGAAGCGATTAGCAGAAACGGAAGCCAGATTCGGAATCAGCGTTCCAAGACGAGTGTAATGGTGTACAACTCATCTCAAAAAGCCACGGACACCGAGTATCGTTTCCTTGTTAGCTTCAATGAAAAAACGATCTATTACATTTGCATTGAATATCACTCCAGGAAGCTACTCAAGATCGTCAGTATTAGCTCTTTCGTGATGAATTCGCACGCACAAGAAGAGTTTAAAAGAACTTGTTAAGTCTTCAAATGAGCAATATCCTCCAAATCCTGGGGCTTCTATCTGTCTCATTTGAACGCTTTTCACAACAGGATTCATTGGCAAAAAAGCACGTGCGGATCTCAAAAATGTGAACAAAAGGAAGGTTATTAGAGACTTGCTTTCTGAAGTTACGTTCGTATCAACCAAAAATTAAATTTTCGTTTTATCAAGCGACAGTACAAACGAAACACTAGCCTTAAAGGCAGATATGAAAATTTAGCATATAAGCACTTCCGCGCCGATAAAGCTCTAGTCCAAGTGGCATTGCACCACTTCGCTTCTGAAGCGAGAAAACCGCTGCAGAAGTGGCGACAGGGAGCCCCGGCGACCTGCCCGCCCCATCTTGATAGCTAGAGTCTGTACGTCGCACACAGTCAGGATGTAGGGTTGCACCACGACTCTGCGCTTTGACCTCGGCGGCAAGCTTTCATATTCGAAACGACATTTTCGTACTCTGCAAGCTGCATTTTCGGAATCAGCGGGAAGAATAAGCCCAGTAAACGGAAGAAGTTTTCTTCGAAATTTTGTCCGGACGCTGCCTTTGAGGGCAGTGTCCACGCGCAAATTTGGGCAATGGGTTTTTTGCCTGGAAACTATCGAGGGGATCCTAGTTAAGACATTGCGTAAACGGCAGCGCAAATCATTCATTTACGGCATAAGAAATCCATCCCCAAACAAACCGCGACTGCGCCGTGACCGTGACACTTGGGATGGGTCCCAGCGCGAACGTAGTGTTAAAGTGGGCGAAGTCGTTTTCGAATGACGATCACGGCGCAGGGACGAATTTTTCAGCTGTGTATGAACAATTGCGCTGCCTCTTGGGCAGTGCCTTAGTTAGGACCTTCTCATCAATTTTTAGGCGGAAAACCCATAAGCCCAGATTTGCCTGAACTGCCTTTAACAAAAATATGTAACTCAATATTTTCCGAGTCATGTGCCACTATTGTCGGCACCTTCTTAACATCGTAACTTTAATCTCACCGAAGTACCGTACGGGTCATGCCGTAGGCATGACCTGCTGTGATAGTCTGCTATATTACTCTACCACGCCTATTATCGTTAGCATTCTACCCTGCATTAACACGTGCACGTCGTCTGACTTAATAAGGCTTAAATGCTTACGTGTTTTATATAACACAATTCAAGAAGCGCTATTTCACCTCAGGCCATACTAGGGCCTAGAAACCAAAGATACAAGTCATGATTGTGCGAGATATCCTGGTAGTCCCTTGAAGCAGCCCTGTTTTCCGTCAAACTTGTGTTTACACAATAGAAAGCTTACCAATCAAGCGGTAGCCGCAGTCGAGAGCAGCATTCAACGCAGCAGTAAGCTCATTTTCGTTGGTCGACTGAAAAGCGTATCAAGTCTTATATGGTACAAAGCTAAATGTCTGTTTGTCTGTGTGTGTTTCTGTATATATGTCCCTCTGATAGTGCCCTGTATGGTAGTGCCCTCTGAACCAAAGATTGGCGGTGTAAGGTGACCGCTCGCGCTCGCGACGCAGTCTGCTTCCCTCGCGGAAGTGCTCTCTGACCACTCTCTAGCCTTTAGGCCCCGAAGCCCCGTCTTTCAGCCGGCAATTCGGTTGAATCAAAGGGCACTTTGATAATTTGCATTTCTGACCGATCTGGATGGAACTTTGCGCACAGCATACACTTCGGCGCGAGGCAGGTGTCGTAGTCTAATTTTCAATATCGATCATTATCGATTTTATCGATGGTTGCAGACTTCGAGCTACGCGGATGGGAATTGGCAAGGGGGGGGGGAAGGATTCAGTGAGCATAGTGAAACGAAAATAACATTATGCTAATTTTATTAGTAGAAGATGCGTCCGTTTTTTGAACTCGACCAGTCTAAACATAATTATGCGACCAAAGGACCTACAGCGCGCTGCGTATTGCCTTAGGGTATTGCGCGGCATAAGTTCCGCCTTCGAAAACAACGGCGCGACTGATTGTGAGCTACTCGCTTGAAAAATGGAGTGTGCGTCTTATACTCGTAAAATTGGAGTAATTTGAAAAAAAAAATATTTATTGAAATTTAGGTTTGATCGGTTTTCTATACCGTTCTTCAGATCTTACCGGCAGTTGGCCTGAGGAGCTGAGAATTGGTATAGAAGGGTGAGTACGCTGACTACGAAACGTAGTGGGAGCAGGGAACTCAGTGGGATTTTCTGCCCTTTTCGTGCCCCTGTCAACACTAGAGGGAGTAGATGGGTTTATCACTACGTAATATATAACGAATTCGTTGATTACGCAATAGTCCTCTGATAGTTGGATTATGGCAAACGAGGAGGCCGCAGACGTAAAAATTATGATGAAATACACTGATCTTTGGAATTGGATTGCTGCCAAGTGGCATGCGTTTTGGAACGCTGCCAAATTTCATAACGAGTGACCAAGCAGATTTTCGTAAAAGGGTCAATGAGTGTCGCAATAATTTTGAGACTGTGTCGCCAGTGTCCGGGTGTGTTATTTGTCCCACCTTTTTAAAATCGAACTTGTTATCCCAGAATGTGTTTTTCAAACATGTTCTACTCCTATTAGTTGCTTTTGAAATAATGCCAAATTGCGTGAAAGCATGACTTGAGCTAAATTCATCTATATTCTCAAATCTTCGTAAAAATGCTCTAACAACAGTCACTTCAAAATTATCTTGCTTCCGAGTGTAGACAAAAGAGTGCGTGAATAACTTAGTCTCGTTGGTACTTTTAGAAGCGTTTATCTAACAACAGCCTTGCTTTTTTTCGTGGGCATCGGTGTGTAAGCGGCACGTAGGGCAATTCCATCAGGCAGGGAACAGATTTTTGTACGTTTGGGGCAGTTCTCAGAATTGGAAGTCCAAAGATGGCAGTTTGAAAACACGCTGTACATACTTGATTTCGTTGTTCTCTTTCTGTAGAGTCGTAAAATTGGCTTTTTATATATACGATCTTCAAGCGGCACGTAGGGCATGAACTTTCTTTTTGAATAGTTACTGTCGGTCTGTAAGCGGCACGTAGGGCAACCCGATGGCAGGGAAACACATTTTTGTATGTTTGGGGCAGTTCTATAATTCCTAAACGATCTTCAAGCGGCACGTAGGGCATAAACTTTCTTTTTGACTATCGGTCTGTAAGCGGGTTTTTTTTTCAGATTTCTTATGTTTGGGGCAGTTCTTGTAATTCTTAAACGGTCTTCAAGCGGCACGTAGGGCATAAACTTTCTTTCTGAATAGTTGCTCTCGGTCTGTAAGCGGCGCGTAGGGCAACCCGATCGAGCAGGGAAACAGAATTTTTATGGTTCTTGTAATTTTTTACCGGTCTTCAAGCGGCACGTAGGGAATAAACTTTCATTTTGAGTTACTCTCAGTCTGTAAGCGGCACGTAGGGAACCCGATCGGGCAGGGAAACAGATTTTTGTACGTTTGGGGCGGTTCTTATAATTCCTGAACGGTCTTCAAGCGGCACGTAAGGTATAAACTTATTTTTGAATAGTTACTGTCGGTCTGTAAGCGGCGCGTAGGGCAACCCGATCGAGCATGGAAACAGATTTTTGTATGTTATGGCAGTTCTTGTAAT